TACCATTTACTTAACTTGCCATAATCTCCAACCCTAAGACCCGCGTGTGGTCGCCAATGCCAAGATTGCTTTCACATCCTGTTCAGTTTCGAAATTTTGGCGCGCCTTCGGCGCACTTTTTCAAAACTACTGCTTGACCTCATTGCCTTCAACTGACCTGCCACCAACCGCAACCACACCCGTTTATGAGCGTACCCGTCAGGGTGCTCATAAACACCGAGCGGCCATCATGCTTCGAACTCGGACTGTTGTAACCGGGCCGCGTGCTCTCGCCACGCGGAATCCAACGCTCTAGCAACTGAGCTACGAGACCGGGACCGGTCGATATTCCTGGATCGACTCCCTGTTTGTATTATAAGAGCCGCCCAACATTGAAAAAGGCTACGCCCGTGGATGTCAGTGACCTATTTTAGTGCTTTGCTTGGTTCGATCTGTCAATTTCTCTGTAAAGCTTCTACTATGGTGAGTTGTCTTTTTGTAGCTATTTTGAGACACAATAAAAAGCTGAAAACGCAACATTTAGGTACTCAAAATGGCATATGGTTTGGTTTGGGTTCGGTGTGAAATTGGAAGTTTAACCCTCGCCCTGGCAGGGCATTTTTCATAACACGGCTTGGCAGGGAGGGGTCGATGCGACCCCCCCCCCTCGCGATTGGCTCCTATGGCACCTAGAAACACCAAATTTGGTAGGTAGGTGGGCCCCCTGGAGTTCTCGCCCCTGTGCAAATTTGGTTGCTCTAGGTCAATATTTAGGGGGGTTTTGGGGGGTATAAATGTAAAAATTTCGCTAAAAACAGGTCAAACGTTTTTCGCTTATAACTTTTGATCTAATTAAGATAGAGCAAAAAAAAAAGCACCAGTGAACTCAGCACGTCAAGGCGCGTCGAATGATATACTTTTTAGCTTGCTTAAGTGTACTTAAAGTTTTTCTTAAATTTTAAGTAAACTTAAAATTATTAATTAAGTTCAAGTTAACCAAATTGCATCATATCGCATATCATTCGATTCCGCTGATCACCAGGAACACAATGATACCATTTTTTAAGCTCTAGCGTCATTATGTGCCAAGTTATTGGCAAAAACGTCATTTGACCTCAGTTGACCTAATTTGACCTGACCCATGGATAAGTACACCAAACAACGAAGCACCTAGTGACCTGCTGTTAATTACTATGGATTTAAAGCACAAAAGTGATAGAAAGAAGTAGATATCTCCAGTATTTTCGGAATTTAGTATTTTCCCATAGGCTTAACATTACGACGTAATGACCTCTAAATGACCTCAGGTCAGTGACCTAAAAAACCCCGAACTATATGTTATACAACTCGGTGAACTTAGCACATCCTGAAAGTTTGAAGGAAATCAGTCCAAAACTGTGAGTTGGACAGGTGCAAAAAGAAAATTGAAATTTGACCATGACCTTGTACCGGTTTTTCTGACCTGGTGACCTGACCCAAGGTCACCCGGACCTGAAATTTTCAGGTCATATGTAAAAAGGTTGCCCCATAGGCTGTGCCAAATTTGGCGGCCTGCGCGCCGCCGTTTTTACGCTATCTTCGAAAAACCTTAGGGGGGGTCGCATCGACCCCCCCCCCCCCTGCCAGGGCGAGGGTTAAGTAAAAAGAAATAATAATTTAAAAGGAAATTGCCTTTTCGATCATTCCAAAAATGTTATGAATAATACGGTGTCGGATACAACGCTCATCCTTGAGCAAACACAGCATCCTATTCCATGCGTCAGAATAGGGGTTTGATGATGACCGTTGAGAACAACGTGAGTATATCGTCTTCCCGCGACTATCGGTCGCCGGCCGGGGTAACTTTTTCAAACATTCTCCACCCATGAGTAGAGATGTCGGTTTTCTTGGACTAAAAAAATGGCATCAAACTGAACTTTGGTCTCCGATTTCTCGCAAACGGGTTCGAATTTCGGAAAACCGACTTCAGTCTGGGACATAGGTGGCTCAGCTCTAGTGAAAACCGTTTTGTGAAAAAAAGGTGGCAGTCTACCTTTAAAGAAGAAGAAAAAACTTCCGTTTTTAGTTTTTAATATTTTATTTTGGTATGGTTCGTACTTCGTACTCAAACAACACAGGCGTGTGTATTTTGGGCTGTGCCGAGTAACTGTATAAAAATCCGGCTCATCATTGTGTCATTGCAAATAATAGCAATTTTTATTTGCTCACCCATAAATAAACATGAATAACTGGTGTACTAGTAACATGCTTGGAATTTCTCCAATGTGTTCCTATGCCTCTGTTCCATTTTCAGTAATTCGAGTTCTCTGCGTAATTTATGTATCTTGTCAGCGCAGATAATTACAGTTAATTACGTGTCTATCGGGAGAGGAGACACTCGTCCCTGAGCGGATGCATACTAATGTGTGTCGTCCGACACATGTTGTGAGTCGCTGGGAAGAACCCCCGGAGTGTCGACAAATGGTTGGGTGGCTCATTTTCGTCTCACTCGGATCCGGGAGACTCGGAGGTCTTTATTTACCACGTCGTCTTGTTCCGGTCGATGTATCGAACTAGCGTAACAAGCTGGTTTTTAGCAAGCCGCCTTCTTTGAAAATGCATGGCACTTGAAATGGTCGGTCGTTACCTACATGTGAACATGTAGGAAACATTTCAGCTCCCTAGATCACATGCATTATGCAATATGCATGCGTACATAAATGTAGACTAGATCAATGGTGTCCGACTGGAAGTACCTACCTGGCCATTTTTGTGATGAATAAAATCACAGAGCCCTTCCCAATACATCAAAGTCGGGGAAATTTTGAAATACAATATTGCTGCACCAGATGCATTCTTTTATCACAACGGATCTATATCAAATTTAAGCAAAATGTATGAAGTATTTGCCACTCTTTGGTCGTCTCTGACTTCTGAGTATGTTCTGAACAGAAACCGGATGTATTTTATCAGCAGAAAGCCTAGTTTGAGACAGATCTGATGCAGGCTGATCGTCTGACTCGGCGACCTGTCGTGGAGCGTGGCCGAGGGACGTACACTCGTCGTTTTTGGAACGACGCTGCTGTCACGGCATATTAGGTAACTTCGCCTCCCTTGGTGAATGAAAGTTCTGTCAAAGTTGCAACAGCAGCCTCATCAGCAATAACAGAGTCAATTTACTTAAATGAGTGGCCTAGTGTGGTGCCACATCTACGGATATATCAACGCATGATTTGTGATATATTTTACTAAAGGCTCAAGCTGTCTGAATTCGTCCTGGGCCTTTTGAGAACCATGAATGAATGTCGCACATGTTGCATTGAGGTGGTTAATTTGCGGAGTCGCTTCCTCATCTTCGCAATCTCAAGTGAATCTGCAAACTCGCAAAACGCCTCGCTCGTCCGCAGAATCATATAGTCTTCAATGACGTCCAGGCCGAAGTCAAAGTAGCCACGACCGTCCTCGACATTAGACATGAGCTAGACATTCGAAACCAAGTGGAGAACAAGAGTTGTGCGCCGTTACGGAGACGCAGCGACTGGTGCTCAATTCAAAGTGCGAACTCAATCGCTGATTTCTGAGGTCAGATTAAAATGGGACCAGGTTTCGGTAATGGTCTGGGTCAAGTATACCAGCTATCAGGGCCCTATCTCTAATGGATACCAAGAAATCGCGAACAAAAACGTGTGGGGTCGGCTCCATCCCTCTCCTCTCGCCCGGAAGTGTTAATGGTTCGATATTCTCACAAAGTCCATTATTTCAAAACCAAACTCCTGAGGACGTGCTCCGAAAGACGTGACAATGCTGCTCAGCCTCGCTTCGCCACTGTCCTGCAATTTAGCTATGCGGAAAATTCGACTTCACTCTGCGGCCGGCCTGGATCCCGCCTGGCTCTGCGGCCGGTGCCGGTCTGGATCTAACCTGGCTCGGGTCTGACAGTTCCGCTCAAACACCGCTCGGCGGTCGGGCGGCCCAAACACCTCTCCACCGCGCGCGCCGCCACGCGCTGCCGCCTTTGTCCCGCCGGTCTGTTTACATTTGGGCAGTCGCCGCGACAGCTGATGAGGCTGAAGGCTAATCACCTGCCTGAAGTGAGACTTGGGGACGCTGGCTGAGCCACGGCCGACTGCCAAAAGTGCCACCAGTCACAGCTACTTAGGAGATCCACCGGCCAAAGACCACCAGGACGCAGTCGGGTCACGGCGCGGCGGCGGCTCTCTCCCGACCGTGACGACTGATCGGGCAGAGCTGAAGAGGGCCGCCTTTCTCAGTCGGTGGCTCCTCTCGGCGCTGACCTGGCGCTGAGCCGGAGAATGGAAGCAGGGGCGATAGCAGGCCATTGTGGCGCCCGGGCCACAATCAATCGCCCGAGACAAAGATGACTGTGTGGTCGACAAGAGCCGTCAGTTTCGTCATCCGCCGAGACGCCAGGCCAGGCATAGGCTCGTGTAATCACTGTGTGCCATTTATCATTCTTCTGTTTATTCATCGCTTCATTAAATCACTATTGGAAGTTTTCTGTCGGAAGTTATAATGCTTCATATACAACGCATAGCTTATGCATTTATAGATGCCTTGCAAGATGAGAAACTTGCCCTTGCATTCAGACGTTCTCGATGTGATTTGTTGGTTCGTTTGTAAATGTCTGCCTGCAATGCTTGATATATAACGGCAGATAAAACTCTTCAAAGACAAAACAAATAAACACTCAAATACCAATTACATACGCACACTACCTGATAAGTGGAGATCGGAAAGTCGAATTAAACTGAACTCAGATATATCATATAAAGCTGGCCGCAAATGGACCTGCTCAGCTGATCGCTTCGCCCTATAGATACGCAGACATCAGTAAGCTTTACCAAATATCAATACAATTAAAAAAACACTTAAGAAAGATCAGAGATAAGAGAGATAAGGTACAGATAAAACTGGCTATCAACCTTGCAGGATAGTTTTCACAATAATATACCTCATTGCTTTACGTTGCCAGTAAGTCCACAGGCCCACGTAAGCCCGCTTATTCTTATTGGATAACTCACATGTTCGTAGAAGCCCTGGAAGTAGGCGGGACAGGGCCGGGTGACCGTTGTGCCCGCCGGCGCCGGATCCCAGCACGAGATGCCGTCAAACACCCGCGGGCAGTGCAGACCCTCTGTGGGTGGGGGCGCCGGTCAGGACTGTCAGAAGAGTACGGGACGCTCGGAGGCGCGGCCAGGCGTCGATAACGTAAAATAAAAATGATAACATCGGTTCATACGGTTGACCTGTATTGTTTAAATTTTTCAACGTCAAAAATTGAGCTTTTGTCACCTTTCCTGGAACTGAGTTCAATGTCAGTCACCTGATGAAATTAGCCTCAAAGGAAACAGACGACACTTCCATCGAGTTCCACGATCAAAGCCGGCACGGATAAGTCGGTGACATGGCATTTACAATTTACATAATTTTATAGAAATCAGTTACCTTTTGAACCTGGGTCCTGACTTTGACCGTACGTATATCTACACCAATTTAGTCAGTATTGGGTCCGAAAATGATATTGGTGTAATCAACAGACAACATGGCGTCTACTAGAACTTAACATAAAAATGTTCTTCCCTTGAAGGGTAACGTGCCCCCAAAAATCAAACTACATATAAGCTTCAGATGCCTCTCGATGAGCATTTCCTAAAACCGCTTTGCGCTTCTCGCAATGATGCTACAATTCGGAGATAATCTGCACTCTGCAGCCTGCTCCCCTCAGTCAGTGGCGCCTGCCTAAAGTATCAGCTTAAAACGAATGAACGAACTTCTTCAGTGTGTTGTTTTAAACGGATGTTATCGGTCGTTTTCGGAAGTTCTGATTTTGTCATGTATAGTTCAGCAAGGAATCATGCTAGATTAAATATCCCATACAGTAGGTATACATACAGGTCGGTATAAACCAGCATAATAACTCTTATCTTTGTTCCGTGCGATAGACATGCAGCGCGATATCTAATAATGGTCTGGCCAATTCTGTCCTGCTGTCATGTTCAATGCTCATAAGCCGAACTATAAAAAGGCTCACAAAGAAACGCTTTCACCACGATCTGGTAGCGGGGGCACGAACGCAGTGTTGAAAACCCAAAAGCGAGATCAATATCAGCCACAATTTGTAGCCAGTGTATGCTTCCTACGTCACAAATCGCTGCAAAATAATCCACAACACATATTGCAAATGCAATGATATGACGGGCAATAATATGTCCTGAGGTCCACTGAGCATCATTTGTCATGCATTTGTCACGCGAACTATTTCGAGAGGCAGTAAGTGATCAAGTGCGCGCCATTTTAAGAACCCTGCATGATTTTATTGAAACAAATTATGCATTACATCCATAGTGGAATGTCCATCAGTGCTATTATTGGATGTTGTGCTTTTGTGCTTGGTATGCCATCAACCACACAATCGATGCAAAAGATATTGGAATGCACCAGCGCAGCGCAAGCACTTTGTCACTATTTTACAATTAGGTGACGTTGATTTTGCTTCATTTCGTTATTATTATGATTCCCATCAAAAATATGAGAACAGTTTTGTTCAGGACACTGAAAAATATCGTGACTTTTCATTACCCTTATGGAAGAGAATAAATGACTGGGATTTTTGCTATTCTCCCCCTCATTATGGGTGCTATAATGTGAACGGACCTCATCGCTAAATCAAACTCGTGTCTAGCTGACTAAATGTTTTTGGAACCAGATCTAATTGACGATGTTTTTCATAGGTTTACCATTCCTAGGTCCTCACCTGAAACTGACCTCAGGCTAATGGCATTGATATATCATTTTCATTGCGGCTCTGCGCCTGCGGCCTGTTTCTCAGTCTGCGGTTCGATGCCGGCCCTGGCCCTGTGACTGAAGGACAGACGCCGCGCCGCGCCGCCTGCACTCACCGGGTTGCGGCTCCGTCAGGTTGGCCTGCAGGCAGAGTCGCTGCTGCTCCAGCAGTGTCATGTGCTGCCGCAGGGTGGCGTTCATACTGGCCGCCGGAGCCGGCGTCGCTTTGGCCGGACTCTGACCCATGGCTGCCGACCCGCCGGGCCCGCCGGGCCGCCCACTGCCTGAAACAAACGCAGACATTGCACTGTGATCGTAGTTTAGTTCAAATAGGAGATGAGGAGATGGAAAACAACTACCTAAAAATTTGCATTTCAATGATAGTTAATAACTGTAAGTGTACAATAAGAGAATACGTAACCAATCATTTTGTGTTATTCGTAAGAACAAGGGCTCTCACTAGAATTCGAGAATATGGTGAAGTTTTAAGCAATTCGGTAACAATTTCGGAGTTGCACACCGCAACTAACAAACACACCGCAACTAACAAACATAACAGAGAAAACAGGTTCGTCTGCCAGTTGTGATATCACTGAACGCGTCAGCGTATCGATATCGCGGGATAAAATGTGTCCATCTCAACCCAATTGGTCGTTGTAGCAGTGATAAATGATGCTTGTCCAATGTCAATACCTACATAATCTGAGCCAGCCCACCTTGGTAATGGTCAACATGCTTAAGAGTTAAGTTTGTCCACCACTTTTCCATCTGAAGACTATCAACAAGTTGATTGTTGTGCGGACCAGTTTACAATGAAATTTGCCTCTTCGCGGAACTAATTGTCCTCGCAAGCCTAAAGTGAAGGCCGCACAAAGCATTACTAACTTTGTACGTAATCGTTGTTCTATAAGGGCTTAAGAAGAACTTTGTCAGCCGCATAATAGGGCATAAAGTTTTAATTAGTTTGAGTGCAAGAATCAACTTCAACAAAATCTAAGCGTGCTGCTGATTTTGAGACGATGTGACAGCGTATTTGATAATTATATTTCCAAACAAATTGGCCGGCGAGTTCCGGAGCTCAACACTACAAAAAGGCGAGCCATACGATCACAGACAAAGATGAGAGCGAGCCCCCAGAGCCTTTATAATCGGACACTTTCAGAATCTCGAGTCCTCTCACCAAACACAAACAAGAAGGTGAGAGTCCTTCCAGCCACCAAACACTGGTAACTCAGCTAGATGAACATTTTGCGAACAAATGATATCTTCAGGGATGATTATTCGCCAACTAAACATGGATAGACAATAAATAGTTCGAGTCCAACTAGTCAGTTTGTATTGAAAACTGGTAGACTCCAACAAAGTGAACTTGCCTTGATTGACGATCAATATATTTCTCTGAGTGCCTTTCCCCATATCAGTAGTCGTTGGCCAATTTCGCTAGTACGTTAACTGATCAAAGTTCAACAGCTTCCACTTCCTTTATGATGCATAGCTAGTTCCACATGGCTAAAACCACTCATGATTATATCTTTTATCCTCACGCTTTCTCCATTCACCAGTCACTGTCTTCATTCACCACGTCGACAGAACTCTGATACGAATTTAATCACTGGTGTCACTATCAAGACACAAAATAATCACCAAGTCACACATGGGGCACTGCAGTTTTAGCACCGACTGACGGACCATGACTGGCAGACAGGACTGACAATCCTGGTCCCGACCAGCACCCCTGACCACCGGACCTGATGTGCTTATCGCTGGCCGATCAGTGTCATAACGTTTACGACATTATTGACAAAAGCACAGACAGACATATGCACACACACGCACCTTAATTACGCTTTCAACGGCATGACATTGACCAGGCATGAACAATTTTACGATAAAAAGAAATTTACTCATTATTCAGTTTATAACACGAAGTTCCCATATTCTAAGAGACCAAGCATATCTCAGGCAGCTTTTGCCAAATTGCGTCAGGGAACTCAGATTTGCTTTTCAATAGAAAAACACAATTCTAAAGAATAGTGTTTTAACTATTGACAACAAACCTTCGGTTAATTGAATTGAACCTAATCGTTAGTCGTGACTGCTTCTTTTAAAAGTGCAGTTACACTGTAAACCAAATTGACAAGTCTTGTGTAATATAACCAATCATCTCTTGGTATGTTTACCAACTGATACTTTTTAAACAAGCCGTTGTCTGGTGCATTGCTTGTCAGGTGACAACTACGAGTCAATAGTTACTATGCACACCAACTTCTCAGCATCCAGACCAACTCTACATTTGTTTCAACGTTTGTTTCTTAACCAGTTTTGGAAACCTGTTGCCGCATGGTTATTTAACCGGCGCCTAACTTGTACTGGTCAGCTGGTCAGCATACACATGGTCAGCTGCGCCTGACGTCAGACTTGGCGGACCAATCAGCGGTCGCCGCCCGCCGTTAGCGGGCCCCGGCGCGGCGGTTTCAAACCAGCAGTTGTCGCGCGGCCGCCGTGCAGCCTGGAGCAGCGACGAGGGCTGTTCCAGCATTTGTGCAGTAAAAAGTGAAATCTGTGAACTGTGGTGTTCGTGCTGTGAGTGAGGCTCCCTCTGGCCTGCGGGACGCACTAATCGTGCCTATACCCGCGGTCGAGACGCCTCCCTTCCCCTGCGCGCGCAATGTAAGTGGGCCAGACCTGTGCAGTGTGCATGCACATGTGAGCAGATGTTTTGCGGTCGGTGTTTTTTTATATATAAATACATTTATTTGCCTTTAATTCAACTCTTTATATTTTTAACCTGATGGACATATATGGGCTGTAAAAGCTAATCTGGTTGGCGATCATGATTTATTCGAATTATATGCGTGATCGTGCAACTGCATGATTGTTATGCTTAATGTTCAGGAAATATTCGTCATACGGGCATGTTATACTTCTGGCTTGATGCGGTGCACAAAACCATGTTCTTCCACATACGCAGCAGTTCTTGCTTCAAAGACTTATATGCTGACGGTGCACGATACACTGTAAACCAAATCTACAAGTTGGCTCCTTGTTACAAGTTTGGTTCCAATTCGCATAGGCGTCACCTTGTCGATACCTTGTCGATTCACCAACCCCAGGCTTGTTGGCCAACAAACTAACAGTTTGTCTACAAGTTTGGTTCCAATTCGCATAGGCGTTACCTTGTCGATACCTTGTCGATTCACCAACCCCAGGCTTGTTGGCCAACAAACTAACAATTTGTCTACAAGTTTGGTTCCAATTCGCATAGGCGTCACCTTGTTGAGTACTAGTCTGGGCCTTGTGGACCTACCAACTTCTGGATTATAGGCATAGTCGTTTCCTTGTCGGTTCATCAATCCCTGGTTTGTTGATGAACTAGCCTAGCCTTTGACTGGGCATTGCTAGCTTACAAATTGTCAACAAGTAAGTGTACTAACACTCTGTTCGAACTTGCTCTTCCTTACAATCGCTTTGTTTGCGTTGATACTTGATAACCTTAAGAACTTACGATTCGCGTTCGTTTTCAATTGCCACGATACTGATTCAGGAAATATTTTCTATACGGACAGGTTATTTTTTGGCTGGAAGTGGTGCACAAAACCATGACTGGCATCAGTTATTGCTCATGCTCAAAGGCTTGCGCTGACAATAAACGAAATACTGATGGGTTATATACCTAATCAATGAATGCATACACCATTCCATTCGGAAGTTTCTGGAATCATTAGTATTTATTACGGTCACGTAATTAATAGGTACTATTGACTGGAGACAATTCCGAGTGCATATTTCCGAATGGATGTGGTAAATGCGTGAGGTAGGTATACCCAGTAGGTATACCTATCGTGCACCGTCAGCATATAAATCTTTGAAGCAAGAACTGCTGCGTATGTGGAAGAACATGGTTTTGTGCACCGCATCAAGCCAGAAGTATAACATGCCCGTATGACGAATATTTCCTGAACATTAAGCATAGCAATCATGGCAGTTGCACCGTGCACGATCACGCAGATAATTCGAATAAATCATGATCGCCAACCAGATTAGCTTTTACAGCCCATATATGTCCATCAGTTAAGTTAAAAATACAAAGAGTTGAATGAAAGGCAAATAAATGTATTTATATATAAAAAAACACCGACCGCAAAACATCTGCTCACATGTGCATGCACAGGTCTGGTCCATCTTACATTGCGCACGCAGGGGAATGGAGGCGTCTCGACCGCGGGTATAGGCACGATTAGTGCGTCCCGCAGGCCAGAGGGGGCCTCACTCACAGCACGAACACCACAGTTCACATATTTCACTTTTTACTGCACAAATGCTGGAACAGCCCTCGTCGCTGCTCCAGGCTGCACGGCGGCCGCGCGACAACTGCTGGTTTGAAACCGCCGCGCCGGGGCCCGCTAACGGCGGGCGGCGACCGCTGATTGGTCCGCCAAGTCTGACGTCATAGGCGCAGCTGACCATGTGTATGCTGGTCCTCGGAATTGTCTCCAGTCAATAGTATTAATTACGTGACCGTAATAAATACTAATGATTCCAGAAACTTCCGAATGGATGTGGTGTATGCATTCATTGATTATATAACCCATCAGTTTTTCGTTTCTTGTCAGCGCAAGCCTTTGAGCAATAACTGATGCCAGTCATGGTTTTGTGCACCACTGGCAGCCAAAAAATAACCTGTCCGTATCGAAAATATTTCCTGAATCAGTATCGTGGCAATTGAAAACGAACGCGAATCGTAAGTTCTTAAGGTTATCAACGCAAACAAAGCGATTGTAAGGAAGAACAAGTTCGAACAGAGCGTTAGTACACTTACTTGTTGACAATTCGTAAGCTAGCAATGCCCAGTCAAAGGCTAGTTCATCAACAAACCAGGGGTTGGTGAACCGACAAGGAAACGACTATGCCTATCCAGAAGTTGGTAGGTCCACAAGGCCCAAACTAGTACTCAACAAGGTGACGCCTATGCGAATTGGAACCAAACTTGTAGACAAACTGTTAGTTTGTTGGCCAACAAGCCTGGGGTTGGTGAATCGACAAGGTATCGACAAGGTGACGCCTATGCGAATTGGAACCAAACTTGTAGACAAACCGTTAGTTTGTTGGCAAACAAGCCTGTGGTTGGTGAATCGACAAGGTATCGACAAGGTGACGCCTATGCGAATTGGAACCAAACTTGTAACAAGGAGCCAACTTGTAGATTTGGTTTACAGTGTACTTTAGTTGATTCCGGTATGTAGAATCATGTTTTGCTTTATTTTTACATTCGGGTGAGTAACCC